ATCTCCTAAGCCAAAAATCTAGAAATTACCGTTTCTCCCTAACAAACTCAACACCAACCCATTAGCAAGTTCCCATAGGCTCCACTTGCAAAATACTACAAATAGAATTTTCTCAGGGTTCCCCACTTCTCCCAATATCCAAGCCACCTTTTGGCATGTGCTGCGTAAGAGCTTCCTAATTGCCTGAATGTTAGCTTTGCTGTTCCCTTTTGATAGGATATTTGCCCAGACGGATATTTGCCATTCAAATCTCAGTTTAAACCAAACCTCGTCACCAAGACCTTCCAGCTGCAGCTAATCTAAGATTACTGTCAATCACTTCATCCTATTTTGATTCCCTGCAAAGCACATATCACCCATATTTGTCCTTCCTCCTCTTGTTTACGGTATTCCCCAGGGCCTGCAACTTTGCGGGGCATACGGCAGGCACACGACAAATATTTGTTGAATAAATGGAAAAGCAACCACTGTGTCCTAGGGTTATGCTAATCTGTGAGTACTGCACACTCCTCCCATGTCGACAAGATTGTCTCATAAAACCTAAGATTTTATATTGAGTACTAACTGGATGCATGTTGTGCCCCTCCCCCCACAGCTACCTGCCTTCCTCGGTTTCCCCACAGCTCCACGTGCAAAAAAAAAAAAAAAGCAAGGAAGGTTTTGGAAAACAGGGTCATCATTATGGTCTTTTGCCACATTCCGCTGGCTTCAACGGGCTCAACGCGACAAAAACTAACAGTAGCAGCACCGACAAAGAAGGGTTGAAGGTAGAGGACTTCACCTGCCGCCAAGGGCGGACCGCAGAGGACCGGCGCGGATCCCAAGCACTGCATGCTGGGAGCTGTAGTCTCCCGGGGAGGCCTGGTGCTGTAAAGAACGGGGCCCCCGCGGCATGCTGGGAGCCGTAGTCGTGGAGACTCGGCCTCTGCGCTTCGAGCGGCGAACCGGGGAGTCCTCACTGCAAGCCGGGAACTGTAGTCTTTCTGGGACTCCACTCCTCCAGCGTGGAGAGGCGCCATTTTAGGTCCCGAGGTGCGGCCGCGCGGAGCCAGAGCGCAGGCGGGCTCAGCCCCCGCGCCGGGCCGGCCCCGCCCCCGGGGCGCCTGGCGCCCGCCCCCCTCCCCGCTCAGGCCCCGCCTTTCCCCACGTGTCCGCCGCCGAGGGGAGGTGCCTGAGCCGGAGCGGGCCCGCCAGCGGTCCGGCCCCGTCGGCGCAGAGGGTCCTGTGGGCTGCGCCCGGGAGCGGCCCGGCTCCCCGATGCTCCCGCGCCGGCTGCCGCGGGCCGGGCTGTGCGCTTAGTGCCCGGCTCTGGCCCGCTGAAGTGCCCGCGGGGGTGGGAGCGGCCTCGGCCCCGCGGAGACGGAGCGGCTGGAGGACGAGGCGGCGGCCGCGGGGAGGAGGATGGGGGCTAACCAGTTAGTGGTGCTCAACGTGTACGACATGGTGAGTGCGGCCCGGGCCGGCAGCCTCCCGCCGCTCGGCGCGGGGCTCGGACCCGGGTCCCCAGCCCCTGCGCTTCCTGCCTCGCGCCTCCGCCTCCAGCTTAGTCCTCGGGGTGGGGGAGGGGAGTAGGAGGCTGTTTGAATCCTCGCGCACGTCGGCGGGCGGGCAGCGCTGCCCAGTCCGCCCGAGGGCTCTGGCCCGGGCTCGGGGCGGCTGGAGCCTCGGCGGTGCCGCCTGCGCGGCCCGGAGCCCGCGCCGGGCCCGACACCTCGGCGGCCGAGCGGCGTCCTTTGGGCGAAGCTCCCGTCGCGGGTCCGACCGCCCACTCCCGGCCGCCCGGACCCCGAGCGCCGGTTCTCCCCGCTCTGCCGCTTCTGCCAGCCGCACACCTCTTCCTGCCCGAGTCTTCAGAAACTCCCAAGCCCTTCCAAGTCCCGAAAGTCACAGCTGTCGGTGCCTGCGCTAGAATCTCGTCCGAGGTGAACGGGAGCCAGCACCCCTTTGCCTCCAAGGCAACCTCATTAACGTGAACGAGGCTCCAGTTTAGTAAGCCCAGCTGAGTTCTCTGGAGATCCTGGTGGGGCTCCTCTGCTAGCCTCTGAAGACCACTTTCCAGGTGATGCAACAGGTATCTGACGTGACCGCAGGAGAGGGAAGGCGAGAACTTGTTTATGAGGTCATCTAACTTTGGAGTACTGCAAGCACACAGCACCGAGTCCAAGGATTGATCTGCCGTGTAATTGCAATTGAAGTCCCCGGTAGAGGATTAGCGTTGCCGTTAAGATGCGTGCTTGGGTTTGTTTGCTTTCCGTTGATGCGTTTTGTTTTGTGAAGGAGTTACTTCTGCCTTCGATGTGTGAAATCTCTGGGCAGATGAAGAAGTCCTCCTCATTATTTTTGCTGGCTTAAAGATGCAGAAGAGCTGAAATGCTAGGTGTCAGGAGTCCTGGTTCTCACTCGCAGATCGAAACTTTTTATTCCCTGGCATTGTGTATGCATTTCTAAATCTACAGTGTAACTTCTTGGGTAGAAAGGAACTCTCGTGCCCTAATCTGGGAATTATATCAGGATGAGATAGACTGCCCGGGACTTGAGGTGAGGTCTCAAGTTGAGTGAGGTCGGGGTTTGGAGGTGGAAGGAGATGGATTAACATACTGAAGAAAGTGAAACATGGAGAAAAAAATAGAGTAGAACTCAAGGGCCTAGGAAAGCAGGGCACTTGGTGAGGTCTTTGGCCTATGTCACTGGTTAGAAATCATTCTCTAGATGTCAGCTCTTTATGGTACTGGATATCTTTATTGTTCAAGACTTTTTATTGCCTTTTTACTGTTTCATTGCCCACCCCCACCCCAGTGATCTGCATTTGGTTTCTTGTTTATTCATGAAGACAATTACAAAACATCTCACGGCATATATTCTGCTTTTGAGAGCACAGTATGTTTTTTTCTTCTGGATTATTAAACCCCTTTATAAATTAGGATTATGCAATGGCCAGAGGGTCGTAGACTAAAAGAAATCTGAAAGTAGAGGTAGAGAGAAGTTTGGCTTTTTAAATAAAAATGCCAGTGCGTTCTTTGGCATATAATGGGCTTCCTTACACTTTAGGTACTCTATGAATCACAAAAATCATTGTTAATCGTGGTAACTGTAGGAAAAGCTAGAGGTGATATTTAAACCAGTATATTTCAAAGGGAGTATTCAGAAAGATGTTAAAAATATAAACTTGTTTAATAAAGATCTCATTCCTTACATCATTTTTGTAAAGTAGGTACTTACGGAAGAGGCAGGTAGAGAAAGGGGTGAATTAAACCTGCCCAGATAACTAAAAATAGGATCTAGAATTTCTAGACTGCAGTCTGATTCATTATCTCCTCTACTGGATAATTTCTGTGTTTCTTATAAACTGCTTCCTAGCAGTAGGAGAAGAAGGAGCATATGAATGTCTATCAGAATGGTAAATAGTTGAAATATTAGACTTCTGACAAATTTGCCCTTGCGTGTTCTTTGAGGGCTCTCAGGCTGTGGCTGTTTTGTGTCACTAACTCAGCAACCTGCAGTTACTTCATTATGACCTTGTAGAAGTCACAAAAATGAATGAGTTATCCTTTCTTCTTTGAGGAATTTAGAATACCATAGGGGAGGTACAACAGTAGTAACAATTCAAAACAAAGTAGCAGGATTTGGGTAATGGAATGACAGAAGAGTAGGTAAAGGGGGAGACCACATGTGGTGGGATCAGGGATTGCTGAGAGGTGCAGGGACCTCTACAGGCAGAGAACAGTCCTCGCGAACAGTGTGTGCAGGAGGAGAGTGCAGGTGGGACTGGGAAACATCAGCTGGTCCAGTATAACGCATGTAGCCTACATGAAAGAGACAAACGGAAAGTTTGCTTAGAACTTTATTAGGTTGGGGCTGGGACAAGGGCCGGGGGTGGGGGCGGGGAGCTGGTCTCTGAACCAGGGGGACCATCTCAAGTTTTCGTTGTAGGGAGCAGGGTGATCAGAGTTATGTTCTTGAATTAAGACCAGTGTGTTGAGGTACAAGATCGTATCTTTTATACTGCTTCATCTCAAGTTGTATTGGTTTTGAAACAGTTTTGCTTGATGTCAAGGTCACATCTCTTTTATCTTTGATTGTACGGCGTGTGCATCACAGATGCCTTTGATGGGCGTTGCTCTTGTCTGTACGGGCCTTGTCTAGCAGAGTCCGTCCAGTCCAGACTTTGCAAACATCACAGTCAACCTTTGGTTTGCACTTGATAATCACTGTTTGTAGGGACCCCTTTCCGTGCATTCTTGTGTCTCTCTCCGGGAGACTGTCACCTGCTCCAGCTCGGACTGTAGTTTTCCTGTTCCCTAGACGGGGAATTGCTGATCATTTCTGTTCTTCCATAGCTGCCGCACGTAAGGGAGAAATCGTACCGGGGTCATCTGTATTAGCGTCTTCTCACGGAGGGATAGCATAATCCTTAAAAGGTTACTTAATCTTATAAAGTGCTGCTAAATTATTGCTTGCTACCTTCTCAGTGATTATGTTCCTCTTTGTACTTGGGGGTAATCTACCACCAATAAAACATGTCCTGGGTTGTTTCCGGGTCCTGGAATGAGGTTATTCACATATTCCTAGTTTACTGGCAGACGTCAAGCAGGTGATTCAGCTGAGTTTCAGGTGCCGGGACAGTCTCTGGTGTAGGCGCTCTCACACAAGGGCTTCATTTGCCAGAGACCCAGAGTTTGTGCCGTTTCAGATCATCTTGGCTACTAATGAATTTTTATAAAAATACAAATATGCAGCAGCACGGTAGTATTTGGATTCATTCAGTAAGCAGCTTTCTTCCTGTTTTCAAATAGTATCTGTACATCTTCAGAGCCTTAATAGAAAAAAACCGCTAAGACTCTTCAAATAAGGAAGTTTGGGCCCGGACGTCTTTTGACCATCCTGCTTCAGTCCAAGTCCCCTAAGAGCATGTGAGGGCACACATGTGTGGGAGGACCCGACTTCGCACACTTCTGTGTATCTAATTCAGACTTCTTAAGTGAGTTCCAGACGCATCTAAATATACTCTTCACCTAAATCAACATGTCCAGGGACAGACACTCTCCCCAGCTCAGACCTCGCCCTTTGCTCCACCGAACACCCCCCACCCCCACTCTTGGGTCATAATTTTGTCTTGATAATCTTCTGCCTAGTTTCCCAAACTAGAACGCGGGGAGTAAAACTACTGATTCTTCTTTATTACGAGCCCATCAGAGTCCAGTCACCAGGCCCTGTCTCTTGTCGTTTGGTTGATTCTGTCTGAAAGGAATAGCTTGACCATCAGTAGCTTAAGCTGGAAGGATACTTCTCTTGAGTCCAGAGATAAAGGATCCCTGGGCTAGTTCAGCAGCTCAGTGGGGGCTCATCAAGGACCGAGACTTTCCGTCCTTCCACTCTGCTGTCTCTCCCCACCCTGCTGGCTTTTGTTCTGCTTTGTCCTCTCCTGGTTATAAAATGACCGTCCCGGCGCTAAACAGAATCGTCCTCCAGCAGGATGTGAAGGAAGACAGAGGCGAGTAGGGCCTTTTTCTCCTTTTCATAGGAGAGGCTTTGCCAGAGCCACCCTCCCCTCCCAAGGAAGGGTCTGGATCGGGCTCACCTGTAGCTGATGAAGCCAGGGGAGTGGCTGGCTGGCTTTCCTGGCCTGCGCGGGTGAGCTGTGGCAGGGAAGGCAGGGAGTTGGAAATGGCACTTAGCCGGGAGCCTGTGATGCCTGTCACATATTTTACCTTCTGCGTGTTGCTTAAATTGGGTACCTTATGCTCATTTCCACTGTTGCTTCTCAAGTTTGGGTCCTCGTTACCTGTTTCTATAATAGCCTTCTCCTGGTTTCAGGCTCTGGGCTTACTTCATTTGAAGCCATCTCCCCCTCTGTCACCAAAGTAATCTCCGGACATGTGAATGATTGTGCCATTCCTCGGCTTCACGTTCACCTTCACCTGTAGGATAGAGGCTCATGCCCTTTATGATGTGACCCCTACCTGACCCTTAGAGGCCCACCTCCTGAGAGTCCCCCGCTGCTTCCCACCCTAGCATACACACTTTATGCTCACACGAGGGGATTGTTTAATTATGTGAACAGGGTCTCCTGTAGTAGCTCACAGCCCGTATCTTCACTCATGCTGGTCTCACTGAGAAATGTCCTGTTCCAGCATTGGTCAGCTGCCCCGCCCACCCCCGCGTCTCCTGCCTGTAGCTTAGCCCGCAGTCGTGAGACTTGAGTGACCTCCTGTGCCCTCGTCCTTTCTGCACACCTCGCAGTGCGCGTGTTAGAGTTCGTGCTTCCCACTGGACCAGGTTCCTTGACAGCAGCGTCTAGAACAGGACCCGTCATGAGGATGTGTTCTATAAACATTTACCAAATGGACGGGAATTTAAGAGGCGGTTTTGTTAGGAATGGTGCCAGTGCTTAAAAATAGCACACCAACGTCTGAAGATATCCCTTCTCTTTGGGCCTGATACCT